CGTTGCAACGTTTGCGTTACACTGTTATCAACTTAGTTGCCTTATTAAACATTTTTATTTCGCATCGGTTGTCTTGTATGTTACGATTGTTTTTTGGTCATTCGGAAGCGTCAGTCACCGGTGACTGACATGGCGCTTAACGTGTTAATTGTCCCCGTAAGTTACGTTCACTCTTGGTAATCCGTTGTTCGCTTGATTGGCCGTAGAATTTCGAGAATGCCAGCGAGCTGACTGCAGACTTGAAGACAATGGAGAAAGAGAAAGAAGTAAGGAGAATGGAAACGAACTCGTTCACGGGTTGATGAACTAATCTCGTTGTTGGTTCAATTAGGCGGTCACTATGCGCATCGAGAAAATGAAGACGAAAGCCGAGGCAGGGATTCATTTGTTGGACGCCGCTAGAATGTTGCGCGTAGAAAGAGACAGGAAACGAGACTTGGCGTTGCAGGAGGAACAGGAGAAGGAAATTACTTCTAGGCTACAGGTAGACATATCGTTCGAGGCTTCTCCAGTGGAGACTGTAAAGATATTTGCTCGCCAAGAACAAACGCGGAAGGGATAGATAGCTTTTTAACGGGAACAATTGGAAGAAAGAACTTAAGTATTCTTTTTAACGAGAAACATTCTTCAGGGATCACAGTGCGTTCTCCTCCTGCAAAGCGTTGACCGGTTGTAATAATTTTAGATAGCCCTCCAAAGATTGGAGCGAGAGTTGCAAATATTAAAGAGAGACGAGAACGAGGTCACAGCGCAAACGTTGTTGCAACAGCTGTCCGAAATGGTGACCGTTCAGTCGGTGGTCACCAACGAGAAGTTACCAGCCGAATTGAACGCGAAGAAGAATCGTATGAAAGCGTTGACTACGGTGAAACAATATTCTTACTTAGGTCCGGATCAGATCACTGCACTGAGGAATAAATTGGACGCGCTAGCGAAGGAGATTCAGGATTTAGTGGAGATCAAGGTAACTCTTGAACGAATCTTCGATGAAGTCATTTTCAATCTGTACGTGCGCTCACTTTTAAACGATGGAATTTATTCAGATCTCGAAGAGCAATATCAACAAGATGGAGCCCTTTCGACAACAAGCGGCAGCTGTTGCGAATATTAAGAGAAACGTGTTGGAACGATTGGAAAAAATGGACAATTCTTTGCAAGAACTCCAATTGAAGTTAGAGGAGAAACGGGAACTGTCTAAAATGATGATAGAAGACGCCGCGCCCAAAGGTGAAGAGCTGAAACAGTACATTAACCGATTGAAAACCAGGAGCACCCTTTATAAATATTCCAAAGGTGAACTGGCATGGCTGAACGCGGAGAACAGTGTCCTTTATCGAACCGCTGCCATTTTAGAAAATCAGGTATACCCTGTTTAAACAAAGTTTCAAACGGGATTTCACACGGTCCAGTTGCCTCGTAACCTTTTATCGTTGAAGCTTGACCAGTTCAACCAAACGAAGGAAATGTTGGAAACTGTCGAGAAAAATACGTTAGCTGATTTCAAGGAGGAGAACGCGTCCTCGTTGAATCTCAAATTATCCAGGGATATTTCTGCTCGTCGAGCGAAGTTGATTCCTCTGATAAACGGTATGCCAGGCTCCAATGCATTGTAACGGATGTGTACTCCCATTGTCGATAATTGATATATTGTATTCTAGACGTACAAAGTTTGCGGGAGAAATCTCGGGAATTCCAAGAGCAACACGAGAAAAACGAGAAAGCCCATAACGACGTTGAATCGGTTATGAACGTTTCGATTAATAACCTGCAATCCGAGATAGAGAGCATAAAGGCTGCTATAGCGAAGCACGCCGAAGAGAAGAAGAAACTGGAAAGACGGTTGGCTAATATAAAAACTATAGAGGAGAAAATAAAACGCGAAACGGAGGTTGTTCGATTTGTTCGCAGATGGTATATAAAAGAGCAGTTTCCCGATGAGTATTAATGTGCATTAACCTGTGTCTTTTAGGATCCCAATGTTTCTGATCCGGGAGCAAGGATAAAGGAAGAATTGAATATTACCATTCGAGCCGAGGAGAGCAAAATAAAAAGTGCCACGCTGGAGAAAGAGGAATTGATGAAGACCACGAGAACACAGGAGAACCAAGTGCGACTTTGGAACGACGTTCTGTCGTGAGTACAATTAAATTCTGTAGTACAATAGTTTTTGGGAGGCGCATTGCAACTGTGGTCCTTATTTCAGGATCTTTAAATGTAAAATCAAATGCGCCGAGGAAAGTAAACAGTCGAACGGTATCGTGGTGCGGCAAGGAGGCGCAGAAACATTAGTCTTACAGTAACAATCATCGTTTTATACTTGTAGAATTGTTCTAAACACAGTTACAATAGTATCGGTGTGGTGGAATCAACAATTCTTTAATTATTCGTAAAGTAGGAGTGTAGAGTTATACGGTACGTCTAACTTGCAATTGTTAACAGTTCTCTTTTGCACGGTTCACAGTGTTCTACGACGAGTTACATATAAAAATAGTAGGTCGATAAACAACTCGTAAGTAGTAACATTTTTGGAAGTTCCTTAGAGACTAGTAATTTCATCGACAGAAACAAAGAGATATCCGGAGAATGCGTATTGAAGTGTCTTACATTTTAACGAATATTTTATCTTCGACATACGTGCACTGCGAATATACTTCACTGTTCTGTTGCGTTGTATTACTCGTACGTATTCAGGGTGTGGCAAAGAGAAACGTTACCAAGCTTTGATGAAAAATTAAAAAAAAATACAATTCAGCGTTATACCAGTTAATAAAGTGTAGTAACATTCTATTGCGACACCCTGTACATCTTTGTATTAAAGTAAGTAAAACAAAGTTTCGTCTGCAAGAAAATAAACATACATATCGTTTATTTTTTCAATGGTAAACATGTCTGCGAAATTTCTTCTCTACTCTCTGTCATCTCGCTCAGACGCTATTTTCGCTAACGAAGTTAGAGTACTTTGCACTTGCTCGACAATGAATTCCATCGAATGATATGTCACGGAAATCCATCACTGTGTTACAATGATCTACAGGTCGATCGTTTACGGTCTAAGGTACAAAATTCATTCCTCAAACGAGAATTCTCCGTCTCCACGTGTGTGTGTATACAAAAAGGATAGTCTTATCATAGAAACGAGTCTCGTCGTTCGACTCGGTGTATTTTCGCATAGTACGTGTGTCATCGGTAAATGCATCATCGCTACTGTTTCGTAATACTTATCTCAGTAAATACAGTAGTAAACAGAAGATCTACACGGTCTAAATAAACCTCCTCCTGTTCTCTCTGGAACGTACACAGTATTGTTCAAAACGAGAGAGAAGAATGTGAAAACGTCTACAGTTCTATTTTATTAATTACGATCGTTCTATCTACACATATTCGATTAACATTCATTTTCAACTATTAACGCGTCAAATGCATAACGCCCATTTATACTGTACAAAAATGTGATTTGGTTCGTAGTGTGTGTGTCTGTCTGTGTATGTATCTGTGTGTGTGTGTACTGTGGCCCAATACACATAACGCGCGCACGACGCTTTCCTAACGATGCACATCATCATTGTGATTCACGTACGAAAAATATTATTCCTGATTCGATTTGAAGTGGTACGTTTTATCCGGATCATTGGAATTCAACGAAAACATTCCACGTGGTTTCCACCTGATCGACAAAAACATCGTGCGGCACGGTAATTAAACCGAGGAAATATTCCTATCGCTAAACATCTTTCTTTACAATTCACTACTATAGAAATATCCCTAATTGTTCACAGCTTTGTAAAGTCATCCGATTCCTCTGTCCGACACCGTTGTCCAAAAAAACCGTTGACGGAGAGAGAACGAATAACGCTTGGGTGAACGGGCCAAGAAGGTGTCTCTACGTAAGGTACAATGCAATGAATCATGAGACAGAGTCATGGGTAAAAACTGTTGCCGGGGAGAGTGGCAGTGTTACAACTTCGGTATTCTCTACGGTCGTCGTACACGTCATTCAACTGATCGTGCATTGTACCTACTTCGAATGGTAAATTACGTAACAGCGGTCCTGTGTATGTATGGTATCCATATCGCGGTACACGGCCCAAAATAATTAGAACGCTCAATCATTGAAATGAGATCATTCGTGCCTCTCGAATGCCGCTTGTACAAGCTAAACGTTTCGCTTAAAGTATTTGGTTCGTTCCCTCGAATCTCCTAATTATTTTGAGCGGTCCTGGCCAGATCCATTTCATTAAACTATGTACAATCTATAGACAAAGATAACCTCAACCTTTCACCGGGGCCGGTTGATTCCTGTTGTTGCTGATGTTGTTGTTATTTTTAGATCCCACCGCGCTCAGTGCGATCCCCAATTGAGCCGCGTAGTAAGTCAGCATGATGGAGACCTGGAAAACCAATGGAAGCGAATTTAACGTGAATGATTCGCACGATGATGTCGGTCGATTACCGTACCTGGGAGTAAGGCAACGGACTGTGGAAGTAGTGGAAGCCCAGCAACGTGTCGGATATAAGGAAACATATACTGCCGATGCAGCTGCATAATTTAGTCCACGTCCATAACTCCTGTTGGGGATAATCGTTTATTCGATACGTATCATGTTGTCGAGCGATTACAAGAAATCGAACGGCTGTTTGTCTTTCTAGGTCAGTATTTTCGGCTCGAAGATACTTTCAGAATATTAGCTTCTGTTCCATCTACCGCGGCTGATGAACAATGAGACAACCGAAACGTTAGAAAAATGAATCGTTAATTAAATAGTGTATCGTTTGTACGATTTGCCAAGGGATCAACACGGTAACGAACGAAAGTAACATAGAACTAGCCCGCACGTTCGTTTAGTGGATCAGATAAGGATCGTCGATGGTTACCCTATAGAACTGCACTCTCGAGATCGCTCTCCATGCCATGGTAGTCAGCAGCACCGTGTACACTGGAACTCCAACGACCAAGACACCGTTCAGACCCGGCATTAGGGTATATATAACTAAAATAGAAAATCGTCTTCAGAACCGATGGGCAACCGTTTCTCGGTTAGTCGATAAACTGTTGGCCGAATGCGAGTCAGTAAACGGTGTAGAGAGAAGTTAAGTGATATATCACACTGTCTTAGAGGAGGGAAGGATTCGTTCGTGTTGTAAGCCTCTCACCTATGGAACACATTGCATACAGAATTGTACCCAGCATTATGTTAAGCGGTATAAAACCAAACGCGCTGATGTACATGACCTGGGCGAGAGCAAACATACACATTCCGCCCGTGAAACAACTGGGCCAAACTAGTAACGCATCTCCTATGCAACTGAATATCAGCCCTGTCAATATGCGCCTGGAGAAAGTGTATCTGAAAAGAATAGACGGTTCCTTTTGCAAACAAGCAAATACTGTTTTCTGTTTACCAAAAAATCGTACGCGGTAGAAGCGGTTGATGCGTTCCGTATGCGATATATGTGTGCGGGAGACATTTGTTTCTTTTTTGTTTTGGTGGCGAACAACAGCGGAGAAGCAGCGAAATAGAGAAGTCTGGCTTACACTTACATTTTCAGGTGACTTTTGTCTCTATTGAGATTATTACTCGATAGCAACGATTCGATTTTATTTCTCTTTCGTTCTTACAAACGACATTGCAGAATCGGGATATCTTGTCCGTGCGCCCGTTCTTGTCTCGGTGCCGGTCGTTACGCGAGGAAACGAGA